AAGATAATTTTATATAAAAAAAGGCTAAACTAATTAAGTGATCCACTTGTTTTGTAAAGTAAAGTAAAGTACCTATATTTAACGTCGGTGGTTAATGTTATAAAAATAGGTAAACTCAAAAAAAAAAATTATTGAATAGGTCATTTTGGAAGCACCCAGAGATTTTTTTAAATTTACCTTCTGAAGTGAAATCTAGCTGTGTTGAGTAATAATTTTGTATATATATATCAAAAATTAAACACTTGAAACTTAAAAACTTAAAAGTTATCTCGACAAAAAGCAAATGTCAGTTTCGATATTTAGTAGAAGAAACAATAACAAACATTTTCACAAAGCTAGGAGCTTAAGTTTGTTGATCTATAATTAGCTTACATAAGCAATTTATGGTGGAAATTTTTGGAGGCAATAACATTACAACTTATTACTATTGGAAACATCTTTATTGAAATAATTCCATTTGTATCATAAATCTGATTTAAAGTATAGCAAATCTTGTCACATTTGAAAGGTTAGAATGGCAATGATGGACTATTGATCGTACGAAGAATTTTCCCTCGAATGCCGCAGGTATCTCGTTGAAGGCTTCATGTGCAAGAAAGGAAAAAATGAAAATTGTTTCGATGCTCATCCTTGGAATCAGGTGCTCATTTGATATGTTGTAGAATGACGAATAATGAACAAAATATCAAAATCTTGAGCTTAAGTATGTTGTTCTGACCTTAAGTCATCTCAAAATACAAAGATGGTTTGCAACGATTTTTGCCATGACTCTCAATATTGTTGCCCCAAAACAGCATCGTTACCATGATGACTAATGAGTCAATATTCTTTCAAAGACCATGGACATGTTCAATAGGGTCTACAGATTTATCTGCTTGCTCTCGATCTCCAATCAAAGTCAAACTGAAACGCTGGGAGTCATTGGAAATATAAGCATTTTGAAGCACGGGAAACAGTCACGCGTCCGCCATCTTGTTTTCATGAATTTTGGCACATGCGCAGCAGTTTTTTAGCCGTGTCGATCGATTGTATACAGTCTTAATAGCTACGAAGGCTATATGTACACATGAATGCAGTCAAATATGATAAACTGATATACTATAATGACTTACAATGGTAACTGGTTAGGACTTCGTGTGTGTATTCAATACAGGATTAGTCTTGCTGTGGCAGCCGGGTATTCTATAGAGACTCCAAAACCACAAATTCCTCGTTAAGGAATTTAAGATAAGCAAAATTTTAGTCATAAGAGTTATATCATTTCAAGTTTATTCATCAGAATAGCGAATGTGCATATAATATCCAGATTACATCATTCCCATAAATAAGCTGATGGTGTATCAAAATTAATATGCTCCTCTCTGATTGGCTAAGTAAGTATTGGTCTAATATCGATATACACCACTAATAATAGCAAAAAATCACAGTTGTTTATTAGACTGATAGGTTAATATTAAAATAATTAGATCTCTCGCCCTACACCATTCAGGCTATAGAGTCTAAACTTGCCTATAGATCACATGGCACTGTGCCAATGTTTCATCAATTGTGTCCAAAACAATGGCTATTACTAGTTTGTAATTAGAAAAGAAATGAAAAGCTTGCTTGCTGTGGTGCGTTTTGTGAAGTAATGTACTCTGCCAATCCCTGCTTTATGACTTCACACAGTACATGTTTCTGTTTCTGTTTTCTTGTGTGTAATAGTCCTTTGAAAAAAGATTGATAAGATGAGCAGGATATGTAATTTTCATGTTTTCGCTCACGCTGATTGGTCGAAAACTGTGCTTTATTAGTTAACTGAGCACAGTGCTAATGCCATCCTTGCGCATGAAGTGCTCTACATGCTGTGACAGTCTTTCTTTTTGCGTAAATAAATTCAATACTAAAAAAATTAGTAGCTATATAATAAAACAAATAAAACAGATTTTTCCATGTTCCATTCAGTAATAAAGCACTTAGTAAATGCCTTACTCTTCTTTCATGCTTACGCCACTTCCTGCGTGTTTTATTACTGAACGGAGCATGGAAAAAGCTGTTTTATTTGTTAATTAAACAAACAGTAGTTGTAACTGTGGCTATATTTTGTTAGGGTATTGCTGCTATAAATATCTATACTGGAGTTGGTGCAGTACTTGAACTCAAGCATCTTCAGCCAAAAATTGACCATGAAGAGAAAGATCAACTTCCTATTCCATGGAAGTACTATGATGGTAAGATAAAATTTAATACTTTTATAGTACACTCAACAAAATTACTTGACTCTGATTGGTCGAGAGGAGTACAATTATAGTGTTAATTGTACTCCTCTCGTACAATTTGGAATTAATAGACACTCGACTAAATGCTCGTGCAATTACAAGAACTTTCAAAACATTACTCGTGTCTATTAATTCCAAATTGTACTCGAGATCATGGATTTTCTATACAAATCAGGATAATATGACCTACTTAACATGGTCCTGGTTTCATTTAAAACAGTGTTGCTTTTTCCAATGTCTACTAATCGGTTATGCCTCATGTTTACACCACATCAATCAAATATGAAATGTACTGATTGTTTGAAAATGCTGTCCAAAGTGGAGTGTTTTGAAAAAGATCTGATCTAAGTCACATTTAACCTACCAAACCATGGTTTTTTCAAAATGATTGTTTTCACTTTAAACTCCAATTTGGAAATAGGTAGCCTGGAAATGAGACTAATACTTCATACCATACTTATTTAAACAACCTGTAATAGAATCATTTTCAATGAAACAATGTTATTTGGTCCTTATAGTTTGTCCTTGACTTAAACCCCAGCCCAGGCAGCTATACCAACAAGAGTGTGACAAGCCGAATTAATCTCGGTCATTCCTTTTTTCTGACTCAACATTGTTAAAAATGACCACACTGGTCAAAATGTTGATGCACTGGTCAAAATGACCAGCAAAGCACAAATTTGTTGGACAAGTTGCAATTCTGAGTTCAAGTTCCATTGTCTGATGTCCAGCCGTTGTTTTAAGTCTGGGCAATAAATAGTGAGGCAGAGGACTATGGATCAAATCTACTTGCGCATTATGTTTTTTCCAGTTAAAGCCAAATGTCATTCCCTAGAGTATCATTTCTTAGTTTAACTGTTGCCAATTAGAAGACACATGAAATGGATACAACTCCAACAGAGAATCGTATTCACAGGGGAATGAAATATGGTCTGAATTGAGAAAACATTTTGCCTTAGTGGATTTGGTCTGGGTACGATGCAAACTCCGTGGTAACTGTCTTTAGTGTTGCTTCCAGACCTCCTGTGTCTCACCACTTATGGATCCTGTCAATCTCATGTATTTTGTTCTTATTTTTATTTACAGACACCATCAACCTTGGTTGGTCCAATATTGCCTTTTTTGCATCCGACTTGATAATAAGTGTCGTGCTGTTGATTGGTGCGCTTCAGGTATGCTCTACCACACTCTTAGAAACCCTCACATTAAATTTTGTTTTGCAATAAGCCTTTTCATAGTTTAGAATTGATTCCACTGCGCATGCGATTTTATCCCGAATTTCTCACCTTCTTTTGTTTAATCAAGAACAAAAGAAGGTTTAGACAAAAGATGGTGAGAAATTCGGGATAAAATCGCATGCTCAGTGGAATTGATTCTTAAACTATGAAAAGGCTTATTCAATTAAAGAATCATAAAAATATTTTCCACATTTGATACTCTGATCAAAATAATAATAAATAATTATTATAAAATGGATTTATAAAGCACCTATCCATAGCCATTTAAAAAAAAAACAGAATTGCAGCTATGAAATTAACAAGAAAAAGCAGTTTCAACATGCAAGTAGGTTTTAGTATTTGATTTAAAAGATGGATATAATTGTAGAAAGAGTCGTTATCGATGAAAGAAGAAAGTCCTAAAAAGTAAAATATTTTTCAAATTTTCAGATTTCAAAAATAGTTTTTCAATTTTCAATGCTTTTCATAGAGTGTATGCACCAAGCGAGTGATGTGTGTTTTTGATACTCTTATCAAATGTTTTTTGAGCAATCAAAGTACATGTTATATGTAACATTTTATAAACGATAGAATTTATTTTATTTTAGTTTAGTTTGAGTTTCCTGTGGTGCTGGGCCTCGGCATCCGTACCACAGGAAACCCACTGATGATTGTATTTGAAAACTTCTAATATGTATTGTATGTTGACATGTGATTGCAGCGTCACAAGTGCCTCCTGACTACATGGATGGTTTGGACATTAGTCGGCCTCGCTTATCACCTTTCTGTGTCCATCTTTTTCTTGAGCATCTGGAAAGGAGTAAGTGAATACCTAGCCAGATCTACCTCCCCCTGACCTGATCTACCTCCCCCTGACACCAACCTAATCTCCCTTCCCCTGACGCCAACCTGATCTACCTCCCCCTGACGCCAACCTGAGCTACCTCCACCTGACACCAACCTGATCTACCTCCCCCTGACACCAACCTGTTCTACCTCCCCCTAACGCCGAACTGACATGCTCATACAGATACCCTCTCGAACCCTTTAAATCATAGGGAAGGTATGTTATTTTCTTGAACTACGCAAATACTCTCCTCAGACTCTCTCTCAATCCCTCTCCATAGAAGAGGTATGTTCTATATACAGTACCCTCTGAAAACCCTGCCCACCTCTTTTGAAATTCCAAGGAGTATATATTCTAATCAGAGACTTTTTCTTGTGTTATTTCATATTTATTGCTTATTTAGTGTTTTCTGATTCTCAAAGGTGCCGACGTTTGGCTATACTATGATTATTGACCTCATCATTGCAGTAAGTTGTCTGTTATCATGTCGTAAAATCTTTAGTTAAACTATCAGGTGGCATCTCTTGATCGTATTAGGGTGGTATAGCCGTTTATTGAACATCTTGCCTATGGTAGTGTAATAGCAGCAGGGCTAAAACTATACAATGGCTGGCCAAGATTAGCACTTCCCGCCAAACAACTCTTATTCTCATCCTCATGACTGGACACATTGACTGGACACATGTTGATAAGTGTGATGTGGTTGACCTTCATTTCCAGCCATTTCCAGCCGTGATATTTACACCTGAGTGGACTGGTATTTCTTATTTTTAATATCCCTTAAAAATATGTTGAACCATGTTATTTCTGCATAGCCGTGCTGTTTGATTGGTATGCTTATAGATCACTAATTTATCTTTAAAGGTATACTTCCTTCTTGTTGTGTACTCCTTCAAACAAGAAATCATCAACCAAGAAAGAAACCCTAGAATCCCCCTGGTGATGGTATGTTATAATCGTATATGATTGTTAAAATGTTTCTATCTGGCATGGGATGATAATGGTAGTGATGATATAGAATGCGAGCTAAGTCCCTCTATTTCCCTTGGTCACTGTCCATCTGTTAGTCTCCTACACAGCCGCTATTAGTGTCGTCACGCAACGCTCACTCGTAGGAGACTATCCATCTGTCTGTCCGTGTCGATTGGTTGAGGAAGATTGGTTACGAGTCAAAAGCCCCTAGGGGAGAGGGCTGGGGAGGATGGACAGTGACCAAGGGAAATAGAGGGACTTAGCTTGCAGTCTAGTGATGATGATGATTGTGATGATGGGGATGTGATGGTGGTGGTGATGATAATGATGCTGATGGTAATGATGGTAATGATGGTAATGATGGTAATGATGATAATGATGATGACATTCTGAAGATGGAGTTAATCATGATCATTATGATATTAATGATAATGATAATAATGATGATAATAAGATGATTAATAAATTGATGATTATAAGTTTCAGTTAAAAGATTCAATAATATTTTTTCAACAAATAAGCAGAAATCTAAACATACATATTAAGTAATGTGTACATGTAGGTATAATGATAATAAATTCTGCACTATTACTGTAATAATAACTAATAATATTTAATAATTAATAATATTAATTTACCTTGCGCTCTATTACCCTGATGATGGAGAATTGGTTGATACAAAACATCTATAATGATAATATAAGTAATGATGATGATGATAAAAATCTACTAACTTTAGCTGTTGTATCACAGCGTGGGACAATCACAACAGAGCTAGGCTCCAAACTAGGTGAAAGCCCAAAGATCAAATTAGAATTTAGTAGTTGATTTTTGAGGAGGGAGGAAAACTGGAGAATCCGGAGAAAAACCCTCAAAGCACAGGATAGAACCAACAAACAACTCTACTCACATACTACATCGAGATCGGCAGGACTCGAACTCGGGCCGCATTGGTGAGAGGCGGTGCATTGGCAGTGCACGCCACCGGTGCTTCCCATAAATGATGATAATAATAATAATAATAAAAACAACCATAATAATAATGATAATGGCATCAAATGAATAAATAGTGTTCCATTTAGTAAATATTAAGCGATTGGACAACTAAGCAAAATATCATGATTTGTTTGTTGCAAGTGAGTAATTATTTGCCAATGCCGAAGAAATAACCAAGTTCAATAATTGTCTTATCATTCAAATATTTTTTTCCATTTGTTTTTGTTCTTTGGTTGTTTTGTTTTGCTTGGGAAGCGAGCCATACTGATAAATGCAACGTTACTGTGCATTAGCATGTTATCTCCAGCAAAATGGCTTTGCATCATAATGTGCATAAGCACAATATTATTTATAGGCTGTTACTGCAGTTATATCAGCCAATCAAAATGATGGAAAGAATAATTTAAGTGATAACACTAGATATTGCAACTAGAGTAAACCTTCCAAGATAAAAGAGACCAGACATGTCGAGAATGATCTTTCATTCTTATTGTATTTAATTACAGACGGCTGGCCAACCCATCCAAGGATTCTCCTACCCACCAACAGGGGTAAATCCCTATCAACAGGCCCCTCCTCCATACATGTACCCAGCGTCAAATCCTCCACCCTATGCCCAGTGTGCACCGGCAGGGGCTCCACCAGCCAATGAACAGAAAGTACCTTTGTAATGGCTTGTAATTCCTTTAGTAACAATCTGTAGTCTCCCAATAATCGTTTACACCTGTGTTTTTTTTTACCTCATTACCATAAGAGGATTTATTGTTTATCTAGAGGATAGGGGGCTCTACGGCAATACTATTTTTGTGTTACTCAGGGCACTTTCCATTAAGTCCAACCGACAGGTCCAAGTACTCAAATGGTACATTTTGGTTCTTATTAGTTTTTAGAACTTCATCAACCAGTTCTATAGAACTAATGCATACCATTTAAGAACTGGTGGCTTGGACTGGTCAGTAGGACCTAATGGAAAATGCCCTCAGTGTCTGTCCCGTTCTTCTTATCTTTGATGCCCCACCTGAAAACAAAGTGATCCTAAGTGTTGTAGTTTCCTTTCTGTCTATCCTTCTAACTTAATGCTCACTATATATCTATTTTACTTCAAACAATAGTGCACATGTTTTAGAGCAGATACAGTGAACTGTCTAATTTGGTAGGGCAGGACTTAAAATAACGGCCCGACATCTGACAATGTCTGTCCAGAATTGGGAGTTTTCTGTTCAATTCTTTACCTTCCTGGTCGTTTTGACCAGTAATATTGAGAAAGGTATGACTGAGATAAAACTTATTTGGTCGGCCATCATGATTGGCGACTTAGCTGCAGTTATTTTAAGCCCTGATAGCCTAAACCATGTTAGGAGATTTTCACTCACAAGTGTCCTAAAATACATCTTTGAAATGGACTGCATTTAGTTTAGAAACCAGCATGGGTACTCATGTGTCAGTGTGCTTTTATATTATTCTCATCAGAATCTAAAGATTAGATGACTAGTTGGCAAGTATTTACAAAAAATATTGCATTGATAGCAAAATAAAACCAACTTCCTTTGTAAGGTTAATAAGATATCATTTTTTCAACAAAACCAATCCAAGCAAGCTCCTCAGCTTTTAGACTTCCCATGCATATTCTTCCCATTTTAACTTTAAAATGTGCAATATTATGTAAAACACCTAAATTCTTTATATATCATGGTGTGAACTTAAAGAAAAAAACTTACTAACAACTATTTGTGGGATGAAAAAAAAAAAGTTATACTGATTACGAAGATTCAGTGATTTGTATTTTTGAACATCTTCAAGCAGGCTGATTTAAGTCGTTTATAGGCCCTAGCACTTTATTTTACATATGTGTGTTATTATTTTGTATAACGATTGYAATAACCAAGTCTTATAATAAAACATGACATCAACTCTGATGTCGATAAACCAATTATAATTTGTAAACGCTGGATAACAGTCTTGTGTTTTAAAAAATATCAAGGATTCAAAGATCAATTTCAAAAGAGGTAAGGAAGATATTTCCTATCCATCCATATCTATACTAGCCTATCTTAACCCATCCCATTTCATTCTTCCATCCATTCACTTACCATCCATCCATACCTATACTGGCCTATCTTAACCCATCCCATTTCATTCTTCCTTCCATTCACTTACCATTCATCCATCCATCCATATCTATACTAGCCTATCTTAACCCATCCCATTTATCTATGCTAGCCTATCTTAACCCATCCCATTTCATTCTTCCTTCCATTCACTTTCCATCCATCCATATCTATACTAGCCTATCTTAAAACATCCCATTTCATTCTTCCTTCCATTCCCTTACCATCCATCCATCCATTTCTATACTAGCCTATCTTAACCCATCCCATTTCATCCTTCCATTCACTTACCATTCATCCATCCATCCATATCTATACTAGCCTATCTTAACCCATCCCATTTATCTATACTAGCCTATCTTAACCCATCCCATTTCATTCTTCCTTCCATTCACTTACCATCCATCCATCCAYCCATATCTATACTAGCCTATCTTAAAACATCCCATTTCATCCTTCCTTCCATTCACTTACCATTCATCCATCCATATCTATACTAGCCTTTCTTAACCCATCATTCTTCCATCCATTCACTTACCATCCATCCATCTATRCATCCCTCTATTCCATATTTTTGGCGGCATTTTTTAAATCATCATCAACAAAAAAATCCATTCTTCCATCCATTCACTTACCATCCATCCATCTATGCATCCCTCTATCCCATATTTTTAGCACATTTTTTAATCGTCATCAACAAAATAGCTATGTTTCACGATTTCTTTGATTTCAGACCCAATCCACTTACTATAGGCGTAATTACTACCAATTCAGATCACGTCACTCCCTTGAGAATACGATTCTTTGTTCTAGTTGTATCCATACATTCATGTGTCTTCTCATACGCTACCATTAAACGAATTATCGCGACCCTCCTATAAGTTTGTTCGAGAGAGAGCCGCCAATATAGACCCGCGCGCGTATTGTCGGCTCAGAATTACCGCGCGTGATTGGCTCATGAGATTTGATTGACGGCGAAAACAGCACTTTTTTGGTATCTCAGTCTGGTTTGTGAATGCAACGGTTTACATTGGAATCTCGACATCGATGGCGGAAAATTTATTTTTTACATGTTTTACATCCTTTTTTTACAACTTTGATCTTCACAACTTATTTCCTGACTTGTGATACATGATATGCTGTTCCTACGCTTTCTGCTACAGGTGAGTGAAAAACAACGCCAAATATTGGTTTTCATGAAAGAAAACTCGACTTTTAGAAGTTATTTCATGACAAAAATAGTTGTAAAATCATATAAATTCTCTTATTAACTATTTGTTTTACAAAGTAGAGTAATAAAATTAATCCTAGTGTTAAAAGTACAATCAAAACAGGTAAAACTTACGAAAAATCTTCTTTTTTGCGAAAACTCAAAAACTCGGCAATTTTCCAGAAACCGTTGTTAGGGTGACCACTGTTAGGTAGTGAGAATTTCAAACGAACCAGGCTTTTTCATCGCTTTTTTCTTCATTTTAATATTTAAAAATAGGAGGATCGCGATACAAAACTTATTGCGATTTTGAGCCGACAATACGGGTTTATATTGGTGGCGTTGTAAGAAAATATATTCCGTATTGGCCTTCGCGACTACGGCTAATACGGAATATATTTTCTCCCAACTAGCCGCCAATATAAACCCGTATTGTCTCAAAATCGCAATAAGTTATAAGAATTAACAATCAAGGGAATAATCCATGGCCTGAATTTGGAAAACATTAGAACAAGTGTATTTATCGTATAGTGGTGAACATTACTCTCTTATCTCATATTTTCTACACGTTTTAAACCATTGTTCCAGATAGTTAATCAGCACTTGTGCCTTTAACATGTTTCCTCCCAAACCAAAATGACGAGCGTCGTAACTTCTGATTCCTCGAGTCAATTGTCCTGAGTCCAGAATAGCTATTCTCTTTGTTTTCAGGTATGTACTCATTTCTGCATTGAATCTTTTCCACTTCGTAAATAATTCATTGATATCTGATCTTAGAAAGTTCTCTATCCCATGAAGGTTATGCCAGATTATTTTGGGCCATCCATTACCACTATTGGTTACCATGTCAACAATAGGCCCAACATACTTATCAATGACGTGTTTGCTATTATGGCGCATGTGCAGTCCCACATTCAATACCACAACTGATCCTGTTTTGTTTAACAACTTTCTCACAGCATTTTTAGCTCTAGGAAGCAACTGCACGTTATATGCTTCTTCTAGATTAATCCTGAAATTAGTTTTGCCGCCACAAACTGGCGGTAGTTCTTCCCAACGACGAGCGATAGAAACATGACAATTAAACTTTCCTGCGTCTATGAATTGTAACTCCCCCGAACACTTTTCGCGTTGCTTTGGTTTCATCTTGATGTTCAATGCGCCCATTGCGGTGTTATTGGTCAGAATCAATGCTAATGCCGTGAAAATATGTCGAGTTAATGAGTCACCAACAAACAACATTTCAGAAATATGTTGTGTAAAAAACTTACACGCTTCTGCATGTTTAAAATCCCTCATCCTACACTTATCATGGTTGGTTTTCCATTGTGCGAGTTCCGCAGGCAAATACTTCCTAAAATCTGTACAGTTCTTACAACTGCAATATTCAGGCGTGCTTCCACATCGACCTTTATCTTCATTACAACAAGGCTGTGTGCTGTATGCATCGCAGACAGATCCCGCTTTTCTTGCTTTAGGAGTAGGTGGATATTTCCTTCCACACCTTCCATCTGATCTTGTAAATGTTCTTGGAAACCCTTGGTATTCGTAAATGTATTCATCCATTTTGATGCGCTTTTGAACATCTTCTGGGCTTAAATCGTCCTTCAAAGACCAGCTTCCATTAGTCAAACACGGTAATATCTGATGACATTCGTCCTCGCTGAGGTATTCCGGTTTTATTGTCGCGTGTTGACTCTCGTATGTGATTTTTTTGTCTTCTTTCGTTTGATAGTTGATTCGACTTACACAGTCCATGTGATAAATAAATTGATAGCACACAATAAAGGACAAAAAAATCAGTGTAATCTTGAAAATCTTGAAAAGCATCTTTGTTTCTGATAAATATTACTAAATGAAATCACCAGCATCACAGAAACCACCTATATCATATGTACATTAGCTAGTCACAAACCCGGTACTGGAAACTTCGAGACGACTTCTTCTTCCTCCTCTAGAGCACAGAAGATGATGCATTTAATATGTCAGCCTACAAATTACTCCCGAGGAGATGTTCAACCATACATTCAACAAGCAATGACTTCCCAAGGGATTATCATATTCATTTATTGAGTGTTCTTGTAATTATTTTAGTTATTTTAATTAGCTTTTTACTAGCCAACACATAAGCACATTCTCGAGAAATGTTTATATAGTAACCATTGGTGACCAAACGATCAAATTACGTGGTAAAAAATAAAGATATTTTTTCAGTTATCTGCTGTAAGGGTGACGAAGTTAAGAGTTACTTTTTCTTTGCTATTTTCTCTTTATCTTCTCTAAAAAAAATTCTTTCTATTTTCTTTCTATTTTCTCTCTTTATGTTTATTAGCATAAACTTCTTAAGCTCAGTACAAGATAATTAGTTAACATGTATTTAGTTTTCGAATCGGGATTGTTTCATAAGACGTGGCTCATGATTAGCTCAGAATTAGCTGGTGCTGAAAGTAGTGCAAAAAGAGTTTATTGCCTTGAACGAACAAAGAGGGCTTTAATGTTTAACAGTCATTTTTCACAGTTCATCTTTCTTGTTATCCTTCCTTTTATCGGCTAAAGTCCTCGCTAGTTCAATCCAGTTCAATATGTCACTCTGCCGTTCATTGCTGACGCCGATCCAGCTATTTGCAATCCACTTCCGGCCTTTGCGTACGTCACATCCGCCGTGAAATGAGTAATGATCTACAGTTCCCATCCATCGCGTGGGTTCATAGATCACGTGATTGTACCACATGATCGCCTTTCCTTTACTTGGCTTAGCGACCACGTTCGAACTGTAACAATTTTTGGCTAGATTACAAAGGTTTTTTTCGTCTCTCATCCACACCTGTTAAATTCAGGAGAGTTTATCAATCAGTCTTCGGTACGTCAGATTTACAACAGATACCTTAATAAATAATATTACAGTTGCGTCGGCAGACAAATATTTCTTTGTTTCGAAGTCATGTAAGCGAGGTTAACGAGTCAATACAATGTGAAACCGCTGACACACTTGCCTTTTCATCGAAGGTACTGTTGTCAGCTAAAGGAAAAGCTGTTTCTCCGCCTTCCTCCACGTCATTCAAGAAATACAGCACTGTTAGATACCTGGGTCAAAAATATCCATGTGATCACGTGATTCATAAATAGTCACGTGATCATATAAATAGTCACGTGATATAGATAGTCCTTAATAGACGTTCGCGCGTGCGTTCATGAGAACCCTACTATACCTGCATATTCGACATCTGCTGAGGTCTACACCAAGTAGATGACAACACTCAAGGTCACGTGATGGGAAGTCCGAATCAAGATGACAGTTATAGTGTCCTCTTGGTCCATAACTGACAACCTGTCAAATGAGATTCACATCATAGATAGCACTGTTCATGCCTAAGCATTGTTTTCGCTGTATAACTTTATCCGTTATATTAGTCGAGGATACAACGATCGTCTTTTCCATTTGTGTTAACATAAAGCTGCTTTTTTTATACAGTCTATTAAACCAACATTAGAATAAACCTACTTATGTTCTATCACAAACCCTGCGGTCTGATTGGTCGAGCTACTTGTGCTCTATTAGAAGTTAATTGCTGTCCAGAAATTCCATCGTGCTCGATTCACCACGAGTAATTTGCATATATGATTCATAATGATATTACATGATTGATATTCTGCTTCTGGGTTCACGATAGCTCGAATACAAATGGTTCAAGGACTTTAAACTGAGTTATCTTATTCAGCAGGAAACGTAATGTGCTGTAGACGTTCAGAGAGTTGGAAGAAAAGGAGCACTAGACTCAGCGATGTCAGCTTATTGAAGGTGTGTTCAACATCCCTTAGGCGCAACTCAAACGTCGAACTGTACATGAGCCGAACTTAATAACATCAAAGAAGACCGCCTTGTTATCTATTGTTTCAATTTGGTTCGGCTCATGTGAAGTTCGACGGCCGAAACGGGTCTCACTAAACCTATGCTACCTTACTATCAAATTATTCTAACTATACATTTGAATAATTAGCTATTCTTAAGTGTAATACTATATGAATATATACATATCATCTTAGAGTGATTTTACTTGGCTCGTGAAACGAAGTTGCATAAATAGTGACAAACACTCAAAGTAAAACTACAAAAGAAAACAAGATTAAAAAGAAAACAATAAGACAGTTTGCGTGAGGGTAACGGTATTCCCAGCTTGCGCGCGGCCTGTTTTCCACAGGTAGGACCAGTATGTAGTTTTTATCATTACCTGTAGATATTCACTGGCTTGAACAAGTTCTGTGGGTAGCTGAGTCAAGCGTTGTACTCTGCAATAACGCATTATAAAATCAAAAATAACGAATTTGATAACATGATGTGCGTGACTGTTGATAGGGTGTATGCATGATGTGCGTGACTGTTGATAGGGTGTATGCATGATGTGCGTGACTGTTGATAG